CCTCTCCAAATGTCTCCAAGAGCATTTGGGGGCTTCTGGGGGCTCAAAAGCGCCTGTTGGTGGGGCGCTGGGTGTCTCTAGGGGGTCTCTGAGGGTCTTTGGCGTGTTTGGTGGGGCTCTGAGGCTGAGGAAGGTGTTATGAGTAGAAAAGTTGTCCATTTTTTTTTTAAAGTTTGCAGAGTTAACAAGTTAAACCAATTGCTGCTAAGTTGGAGTTTTAACTATTTTTTGTTAATAATTTCATGTTGTAATTACCTGTTGTTAATAATTTTCCTTTAATTACTTGTTGTTGATGATTAGAAATCCCTCTTTGTCAAGTATCACCCTGCTGCTTCCTGGAAAATGGCACCCAGGACTGTGAGGAGGAAGTGCAAATCTGTGAGGAGGTATGCAAATCTGGAAACACCTCACCAAATCTAGCAGGAAAAACCCTTTTTAGCCAATGTCCCAAGCACCTGACCTTGGCTTCTGTGAATTGCAACTTCAACTTTGACACCTTCAACCCCCTTTCCCCTAAAAAGTTTAAAAGTTCAATGGTGCTCACCCTCATAACCTCTTCCCTTGGACCTGCAACCAACAAATCGTCTACATTTTGTAGCAATTTTGTCCCCTCCATTGGTAAAAAGTGACTCAGCACCTGCTCAAGTGCTTACCCAAATAAGTTTGGGGAATCAACGAAGCCCTGAAGCAACGATATCCATCTGAACTGCTGCTTTCTGTTCATCTCCGGGTCTTCCCACTGAAACACAAAATAATCTCTGCTGCCCTCTGCTAAAGGACAAGTCCAGAAAGCATCTTTCAAATCAATCACGCTGTACCACATGTCCTTGGGAGAAATGTTATTCAGCAAGGTGTAAGGTTTTGAGACCATGGGGAACAAAGTTTTAGTTCTCTGATTCACAGCCCTTAAATCTTGCACCAGCCTATAGCTACCGTCCGTCTTTTTCACAGCCAGAATTAGGGTGTTGTGCTGGGACATGCACAGCTCCAACGTTCCTTTCTTTATTAATTCATCAATCATCAGTTTCAATCCTTTCCTCCCCTCCATGGAGATGGGGTACTGTTAGACCCTAATGGGGTCTTCTGGTTTCTCAATTTTGACACGAATCAGCTCTATGTCCAACCTCCCAGCTTCCCCTTGGACATACCAAACCTTTGGATCTATTTTCTTCTTGTCCTGGATGGTGAGTTTATACATCCTCACCCTGAGCCGGGAATTTTCCACTGCCAAACTGATTTCTATGGCTACCATCAAGTCTCGCCCTAATAAATTAAAATCTGTGTCCCTTATCAATAGTATATTTCCTGTACATCTTTTGTTTTCTGTCTCTATTTCTACATCTTTTATGAACAGAACCTTGAAGGGTTCCCCTTTTTCCCCGATTACCATCACTGAGTCATGGCTCAGAGAGCACCCTTGCGGCAGCTGCTGCACTGCGGTTCGTTCCACCCCAGAGTCTACTAAAAACCACATCTCTTGCCTGTGGCGTCCTATCCTTAATTTTATCAAGGGCTCCCTTGGTGTTCTGGACCCCAAACTGAAAAGCCCCTGACACCCCTAATCTTCTTGAAACATCGCCTGGTCCTTGCTTTGCTGGGACAATTCCTTCAGATGTGTCCCTTTTGCTTACAGTAATAGCACTCGAAATCCTTCTTTTGGTTGTTCGGTCCTTCTCCTCTGGAAGGGTTTTGCGTCTTCACCGGCACTGCTTTCTCCGCGTCTCTGACCTGTTCCTGTTTCTGTGCTTCCCTTACTGCAGCTACCAATACCTTAGCTTGAATCTTCTGGTTTTTTTCGTCTCTTCTCATGTAGACCTTCTGGGCTTCCCGGAGCAATTCCTACAACACCTTGTCCTGCCATCCGTCTATCATTTCTAACTTTTTCTGTATGTCTTCCCAAGATTTTGCCACAAACTGAGTTTTCAACAAAACTGCCCTGATCGGAGAATCGGGATCTGTCCCCAAATACATTCTCAGGCTCTTTTGGAGCCTCTCCAACCACTCCATGGGTGTCTCATCCTTTCCCTGGCATTCTCTGAGTACCTTACTCATGTTCTGCCCCTTAGGGTACCGCCTCTCTGATATCGTGAATTATCTTGTTCCTTATGTTCATAATTTTCTGCCTCCCCTCCTCTGTCTGGGCACTCCAGGACGGTTTCTGGTTTGGCCACCTCTGATCCCTGCTTTCCCCATTGGGATTTCTCCGTTCTTCAATCCTTGATTGCGGCTTGTCTGATCATCTCCCTCTCCTCATTGTTGAACAGCGACCTCAGGATTGTGTTGAGATCCTCATAGACATAGGTGCTGGTCCCGAGAAATTCATCTAGCCTTTCTGCCACCCCCAAAGGATCGTCTATCAATTTTCCCATCTCTTTCGTGACCGCCCTCACATCTCCGATATTGATCAGCGCGTGTACGAAGCTGATAACTCATGGAGCCATAGGCACTTCCCATAAAGGAAAGATGCCAAGCTTCTCATTCTCACTGTCTCCCATGGTTGCCCTCCTCGTTTGTGGCCTTGTTCGATGGGCCAGGGGAGAGCTGACTTTGGGGAAAGTTACCTGTTTTTCTTCAGTCTTGGGGAGGGTTGGTGGCAGCAGCTGCTCACATGGGAGCAGAGTCCCCGCCGCCACTTGTTCACATGGGAGGGAAGGCACCGCAGCCTGCTCCAGTGGGAGCGGTGGTGCTGAGATCTGACCCAGTGGGATCGCTGCCTCGAGAGGCAATGTGGGCACAAGCGATGCCTGGGCTTGTCCGGGCTGGGGAGGAGGGACAAGGTAGGGAGGAGGAAGATTGTCCAAGGGTTCCCATTCCTTTCCCCCGTTTGCTGCATGTCTGAGAGCTCATACCGGATATAAATTCATACAAGCGTATCTCCATATCTCCACATTTCGGCATACTCAATTTCCTTGAAATCCTGCGGGCGGTGATCAAATATGCGGTCGTAAAGGGACTCACAAGTCCATGCCTCGAAAGTGCTGAACACCGGCCAGAGGATGTATTTTCCAATCTCCTTCCCTCCCCATTTTTCCATGCAAAAATGTATCATTTTCTCCTTGGACCACTCTCTGGGGGTTGTTGTCCCAGTGTTCTAACATCTATCCCAACGGACTTTCCCTTGGAATTTCTGGCAGAACCTTTCTGGCACCCTGGGGAGATTTTTCCTGGGGCTTTTTCTGGAACCTGCTTTTTTCCCAGCCCCATTTTTCCAAAAATCCTGGCTGTGAATTTTCTCACCTTGTCTCCTCCAGTTGGGACGCTCGATGTGAGTCCCAAGTCTTTGTCTGATGTCGATTTCCTGAGCTTGCGAAATGCCGCCAGTGTCACTCAGTCACACAGAGAACTGTTCTGCAGACTTTTCGACTGATCTCTGATTTTCTTACCTGTTTTCTCCGGATCAGAAGGCAGACGGACTCCCGGAATTTTCCAGGGCCATCTTTTCCCCTTTTTCTGACCCAACCATGACCAATTCCCCTCTGAACTCCCTACAAATCCCAGGTCCCACTTTAAGAAGAAAGTGTCCACTTCCCCTTGACCGACCATGTCCCACGCGGGATGGTGGAAATGCGATCATGGGGTCCACAGTCGCTTTGTGATAGAATCATATCTCACACACATGTTCGGTCACACCCCACTCAACCATGCAATACTCACAGTTCCTTTCCCGCGTGGATTCTTTGTGCATGTCAATTTCCGAGTGGAAAAAGCACCTCTGTCTCAGATATCCCTCCTGGATCTTGCCGAGTTTCCAAGAACTGGGCCTGTTTTTATCCCTCTTTGGCTCTGGTTTCGGGTTGGTGATTTTGATTGGTCTTGTGAACTCCCAGTTGCACTTGGACCGCTGAAATCAGCAGGCACCTTCTGGCTGGGAAGGGCCCCCAAACCTCAAATTCAAATCACGTCAGTTTTCACCAGATTGTTATAAATGATCAATTGTTAGCCAAATTATCAAAAATATTGAAAAGATTTAATAATCTTTCTGCGCGACTGAATTTCGGTCTCCGAAACCACCACAGCCAAAGAGACAGTGTCAAGCCCGGGGTCGGTGCTGGGTGAACACAGATCTGACCTCTATCACATCAGACCTCCCTCTGTTCACACATGCCGCTTTTTGCGGCGAGGCGTTATATAGTTTATTGTGCCTGAGGCAAAAGAGGCCGAATTTCTTTTGTAATTCTTCACATTCATTGTTGTTCTTTTCAATGTGCAGAGCTGGACAAAGATCAGCTCCAGGTTCATAGTCAGCACTGATGGGCTCCAGGGAAGCCATGTATCCAGATAAATAAGTCTGGCGTCACTGGCTATCTTGATTGTTGCAATGGGCAAGGCAATGATCGCTCTTAGGCGGTTTCCAGTTTCAGAGGACTCAAGAAACCAGAGATCATTGCCCTGGGAGGGTCTATTCTTACGCTAAAGTGCCGATCGTTATCTTATCTGTGTCTGGGAATTTGTTGGAATCTGAATAGCTGGGGTGGTCAGAGACACTTTTTGGATTTTACAATCTTTTATAACATACATTCTTTAATAGCATGAATTATTTCTACCATATATTACAATAGGGCATCTAGAAGAGGTCTGTGGGATTTTTGGGGGAGACTCTAGGAGTGTTGAAGAAAATCTGTGAAAGGTATTGGGGTCCAGGTAGGGCTTTGAGGAGTCTTTAATGGTCCGGGGGTCTGTGGGATGTTTTGGGGGGCCCAGGACAGTGCTGGGAGGTCTATGAGGACTAGGAAGTGTATAGGGGCACCTAGGGATTTATTGGGAGCATCAGGGCGGGGAACCCCCAAACCCATGGGAGTGGGGCTCACCTGTCTTCTTCACCTTCACACGGCCGACATGGCGGCAGGGGGTTCTGGTGTCCCTACGCCCCTGAGGGTGCTGGGGTGGGGGTTATGGGGGCGTCAGAAGCTCCCCCTAAGCCCCCAAAAATCCCTCATAGGACGCCGATAGAGCCGGGACTGCGGTTCCCATCATGCCATGTGGCCCCTGAAGAGTCTCACCAGAGCCAGGACTGTCCCCTAAGCACCGTCCCAGCTGCTAGCCAAGTGCTTCCCTGAACCATGAGTGAGCCCCGGGGCCCTGTAAGTACCCCCAGTTTCCCTCTCCTGACCCCCAAGTGCCCCTCAGGGTCCCGAAGTCCGCCCGCCCCCTACTTGCCCCCAAAATGCCCCCTGTGTGTCCCCTCGGACTCCCAAATGCTCTCCAACTGCCTCCCCGCCCCCTAAGCGCCCCTACAGATCCATTAATGATCCCACAGGCACCCCCAGCTGGCCTCCAAGCGCCCCTCGAGTGTCTCCTGGGAACTGGCGTGATGACAACAATGTAGAGAAAGACTCTGACTCTATCGCAGTATCAGCAACACTTCAGCCTTTAATTAAAATTTGAACCAAAACTGCAATTGCCGATGTGGAGGGTGGACAGGCCTCTGCCCTTTTTCGTGCCAGTCCCGTGGTCCCACTTGTAGCCAGGGAAATTGCAGGAAAAACATTCCTGCATGTTGTGCACATCAAAATTTCATGGGAATCGGGAACTGAGTCTGTGTGGTGAACTTCCCTGACAGGTGGAGATAAATCCTGTCTGATGAAGAACAGGTTGGGAGGACTCTGGGGACCTGGAGTATACACTCCTGTACCCCCTCCCCCCCGAAAACACCAGAGACCTCCTCCATCCCCTACAGACTCCCCAGTAGATCCCAAATACCCTCAGAATCCCCTCAAAAAGCTCCATAGCTCCCCCTCCCCAACAAACACCCTATAAACCCTCAGGACCCTCCCAAACCTCCCTTTACAAGCTCCTGAGGCTCTCTAAAATAACCCATCGGTCTGCCCAAACCCCCAGCACTCTCCCACACCCCCAAAAGTTGTGGCCACAACTAGTCATGGACTGCCTGAGCCACTTTTTGGGCTGATAGGTATGTAGGTATAAATCTAATAGAAAGATAAAGTGTAATATAGAAAAGGGGCCTCCAGGAGAGCTGGGGAGGGTCTTTGTCAGGGGACAGGATGGAGGGTGAGGGTTTTCACCTGCCAGAGGACAGGGTTAGATGGGATTTTGGGAAGAAATTCCTCCCTGTGAGGGTAGTGAGACCCAGGCACAGATTGTCCAGAGAAGCTGCAGCTGCTCCATCCCTGGAAGTGTCCCAGGCCAGGTTGGACAGTGCTTGGAGCAACCTGGGATAGTGGAAGATGTCCCTGCCCATGGCAGGGGATGGATTGAGATGACCTTTGAAGTCCCTTCCAACCCAAACCAGCCTGAGATACTAAAAGGGGGGGAGGTTTGGGGTAGGAAACCTTGGCTGACCCCAGGTGCCCTCCCAGGCTGCTCCATCACTCACGCTTCAGGAAGAGACAGCAAGAGAAACCTGATGAGAAAGCTCCTGGGGGAGATGGGCAGTCCCTCAGGAACTGCTCCAGCCCTTTCCAGTCTCAGGTGGAGGCACTTGGGGCATGATTCTTACCCAGCAGGCATCCCAATGGGGGAGAAGATGGGTTCAGCCTCTTGATGCAGCCTGTCCTGATCCCACTGCAGAGCCTTTCTGCCCTTCAGCAGATCCACACTCCCACACAAGTTGGTGTCATTTGTCAACATAGTTTGACTTCCACTTGATCCCCTCATCCAGATCATCAGTAAAGATGTTGAACGGGACTGGACCCAGCACTGACTCCTGGGGTCACCCACAAGTAATTGGGTGTTATGGATAGAATGGGAGCTTCAGACAAGCCACGTTTTAGACTAAGATTTTTTGGGTACAGCTGGAATTAGGAGGCCTGCACCTAAACCACTCTGGCTCACAAGTTCTAAGAGTGGCAGATCAGGTCTATTATGAAATTAGTTATTTATTGAATAGACAGGAGATAATAGACAAAAGGTCTTGAACAGAGTTACTTACTACACGGTATAAAACAGAAGAACTACTAGTAGGTTACATAAAACAGCTCACAACATTAAGGTACCTATATCAAAGCTAGGAAAGAAATAGTACAGATTAGGAGTCAATGTAACTTACCACCAAACTGGCAAGAGTGTGCAGAGTCCTTTCACTCAACCCTCAAGAAAGGAACCACAAAACCAGCATCCCAACTTTGTGGGGAAAGCCCCACACATTTCCAGGGAATGTGCAGAAACTTCTATTTTGTGAAAGTTTGGTGTAGCTTTAATAGATTGTGAAGCAAAGTGTCTGTCAGAAATTCCAGCTTATCTTTCCATAATCTTGCTTCCACAGCAAGATGTTTATTGTCAGCTACAAGTGCTGCTTCCATGGCACCCAAATAACCATGACACAAGTGGCCTTTAGTGATTTATTTCACCAATTAGCAAGCTCTTGGGGCAGGGAACACGTCCTGCTACACTGGCCCCAGTTGGATTTAGTTCCATTCCCCACCACACTCTGGGCTTGGGCATCAGCCAGTTTTTCATCCAGCAAACAGTTGCCCTGTCCAATCCATGAGCAGCCAGGTTCTCCAGTGTCAAAGGCTTTACTGCTGTCTATAAATATCCATCCACGGCCCTTCCCTCATCTCCTGAGTGGGTCATTCTGTCACCGCCTGCAGACCCTTGGCCTGGGCGGGAACAACCTGCAGCACTGGGCAGCCGCGGCATCCCAGGGCCTCCCGTGGCTTTGCCGGCTTTCCCTGGCCCGCAGCCGCTGCTGGAGGTGAGCGTGGCCACACTGCAGCCGGTGCAGGTGACCCTGGGCGTGCTGGAGCTGCTGCCAATGTGCTGCGCTGCCTGAGCCCACACCCGCGTCAGCTGCCGCCTTTCCGCTCCCTGCACGGCCTCTGGGAGCTGAAGCTGCAGGTGCAGCAGCCACAGGGGATGCGCGTGGTCCCACAACGCTTCTTCCAGGGCCTCAGTGCCTTGCACTCGCTCTGCCTGTCACAGAACTCGCTCTCGGCCATCCCTGCCGATGCCTTCGGTGACCTGGCACAGCTGGAGTGTTGCAGCCTGAATAGCTGCTAGGAAGGTCCAGGATAAAGAAGCAAAAATGGCCTGTGCATGGTATCCACAGATGTTTAATTCAGCCACGCAGTAACATGTTCAGGTCCCAGGCACACACACATGGAGGGTCCAGGTTTCTTTCTCCCCAGGGGCCCGGGGTCCCTCTGATCTCCGGGCAGTACAAAGAGAAGGGCCAATCAGGGAATAGGGAGGGAGTGCCTCAGGGGCACGGGGGAAGGAGCCAATGGGGTCTTATCGGCTTTTTGAGGGAAGCTTCTTGTGTTTCCCCAACCATCGGGATGCCCCCCAGGTTCTCCACAACTCCCTATTTTGATATTATTCTGAAAGCTTTTCTGAAGGATCAACTGAATCAATAGAAAATGACAAAAACAATCAAAAGCATCCATAAGACAATTTTCAAAATGCAACCAATTTTGAGTCACCAGTGTCCAAATATATTTTCTTACAGATGGCAGGACGGCTGCTGGGTTTTCTTAGTATGGTTTATCTGGAAACTAAGTCCCGAGAAGGTTCTTTCAGCAGGGACTTGTTCTCTGCCACCTGTGGCAGTGTTGTTGGCTGTGACTGGCTCTGTACGAGGTAGTGTGCGTGGTGGTGTGCCTGTTGGAAATTCCAAAATAGAAATTATTAACTTTTAAGAAAAAGATGGTTACTTTAGGGAAACATTATTATCTTTCCCTCCCAATCTCGCTCCCTCTGGTATTATGAAGGAACTCTGGGGAAAGGGATTAGTGGAATTAGTGGAGGGAGGCCATGGAAGGGGGGAAAAGGAGGTAGGAATTTGTGGGAACATAAAAAAGGGGTAGTAGGACAATGGAAAGGAAAAGGGGAAAGTGGGAGAGGGGCAGGGAGGCCACAGGAGTTGGGGAAGGGTATTAGAAGAAGTGCGACTTACATGATTGGATGGTTCAGTCATTATACTTTTCCATGGGAAGGAAAGCACATAGCCCCAGTGGTTTAGGTGCAAGTTACAGGCTGCCCTAGGGGGGTAAAGATCAGCAAAAGCTTTCTGATCTGGCAGCTTTTATATGAGAGTCATCTTTGGGTATATATAATATCAGAGGTGGTATCCACATTTTAATGATGGGCTCCTGGATGAGAATGAGAGTTCTCTTCTGTAGGAAGGAAAGCATGTAGCCTCAGTGTTTGCAGTGCTGATGAGAGGCTGCACAGGGGAGGTAAAGGCCAGCCAAGACCTCTCTATCATGCCACCTTTTTGGTGGGAGCAATCCTTGGACATTGGAAGTGTTATCTAACTTGGGTAATGGGTAAAATCCCTGGTCATATTCAATTAATTGCGCTTACAACTGAAAAGCATGTGTGATGTAGAATGCATGTCCTAAGTTACCATACTTTTTATCTTAAATAAAAGAAGTGACTCTACCCCTCTACCCTGTGAGTTGAACTTGTTAATATGTGAACCAAATTTGCTTCTTGCTGGCAGTGATTACTCCTCCAATAAGGATAAGCTGTCCTCCGATGGTTAACTTGATCCTCAGTGGGGATATGCTGGAATCATTACTGATATCATTCCTGGATAGAAAAAAACAGTATGGGTCTCAGCAGCATTAGCCTGAACAGGTTACCCCTTAGTGGCTCAAGTTGTTAATGACAAAATTCCTTTTTCCCACTCAGAATCTCTCTGTTCCATCTCTTTAAATGTGGTTGAGTTGAATAGTGAATATTTCTTTGGTCTTTCATGGTGTTAGGCCTTGACATTCTTCAGGAGGAATCTCAACTTCAGCTTTATGAAGTGCTTGTCCACTGCTGTTGCTGCTTCCTGTGTTTTCAGGGGGGTCTCCTGCAATTTGAGTTGTCCTCCCTGGGTAGCATGCTCTCCTAATTTAAGCTATCAGTTCCACAAAGTTTAGTATAGCAGTGATTGTAGATGTGGTACTGGTGTTCAACTGCCTGTTATGAATCATAAGCCACAACTATATGTTCAGCTCTTTCATGAGCCAGACCCTAAGAGCGGCTCAGTTGGTCTGAGCATGGTGCTGAACCACAGTTGTTGGTTCAATCTGTGTATGGCCCATTCACTTAACAGCTGGTCTTGATGATCTTTGTGGGTCCCTTTCAACTCAGAATATTCTGTGATCTGTGACATAATGGCAATGCCAACAGTTGAACATTGGCTAAACACTGGCATGTTCTGTGTGGCTGGAGTGTTAAAATGATCACTGGCCACTGTGTCTGACAGGAGAGATAGGAGTGTGACTGAGTGATAGTACCTTTTTTCTTTTAACCTGTCACCACCTCATCAATGCCCAAGCACACGGGTGCTTGTATTGTGGCTGTTAGGTTTGCAGTAATTGGGTATTCAACTCTTAGTGGGGCCACATTGGCCAGAACTTCAGAAATTCCACTTCTCCCTGATGCAAAAATCCAGCACGGGGACACACTAGCAGTCTTTGGATCAGGGAGTGCAGGTGCCATGTG